TTGGTCCATATGGACCAATCCACGGACTTGCTCACACACACACTCAATCTTTTCTCAGCTGCAGCTCCACGGATTTCTCAGCCTGAGACGGCGGGGCGCGGCGAGGCTGTGAGTCTGTGTGTGAGCACACAGACTCACAGCCAGGCTGCGGGTGTGTGTGTGTGTGCTCGGGCTGGTTTTGGGCTGGGTTTCGCTGTGTCTCGCTGTCTCGCCGACCCCACGCAGCTAGGAAACTACTAGGAAACCACACCAGTAAGCCAGCTCACACTGTCCACTCCGCGCAGCAGCGAGCCTCACAACGTCCCGCCAACACGGCACCCAGACCCCACGCAGCATTCTCATCTGTTTGCCATTGCTGGTGTCATTTCCTGGTTGCTAATAAACGCCATTGTAACACGTAATCACTGATGTTCCGCTGTAACGGTGGTGGACTCATTAGAACAGAGTGGGCGAGCGGACCAATCAGAGCACAGTGGGCTCATAGGGAGGGGGGGGGCAGGACCTCCAACAAGCCGTGTAGGACAGAGAGTGAATACACATACTATACAGAGATGCTGTATGAGAAACCAATGTGAGTTTGGAAAATTGCACAATATAAATCTATTCTAGTAAACCTCAACAATGGAATTATGATCAGTAGAAATGGCCATGACATGGGACCTTTAAAGCATGGACACATGTCACAGTAGAGGCACAAAATACAAATATGAACCTGAAATTAGCATAATAGGGCCCCTTTAAATATGAAAGTTTAATTTTGCCTTTTGTCTGCACAGTTCCTTTACTTTTGTAATGCTTATAATTTCCCTGCCGAGTGAAAACAAAAATATTTCTGGCTCTGATGTTATTAAAATAGTTTATTTCCTTCCTTTGCCAGTCTTTAAAATGAAAGCACACAATATCTCAGTGACCCTCAGCTGAACCGTGTGCTGGCTGACATGTTGCCAACTGCACACACTCTCACTCAGGTACACATTTAGAGCAGTGACAATTATATTGTAAAGCTCTGTCTATCTCAATTACCATGTGCTTCTGTATTCAACCAGCAAATACAAACAGTATAAACACACACACACCTTGGCAGGCTGGGGCGTGGAGAAGTTAAGCCAGGCAGGGACAAAGTCATGCTGCGCCATTTAGGTCCAGTGTTTCCGGTCAGTGGATCGAGGCATCAAACCTCATGGCCAGGATCTGATACAAAAAGAGAATAGACAGTAGGAATGACATCTTTTAGGAATTCAGTTCCATGACATTTCTTTCAAGGAGTTTTGTCTACCGATAGATATTTAGACATTCACTGCATAAAGGGTCTCTCTCAAGTGCCAGAAAGAGTTCTATTCTTAGCAGAAAACAACAAAGCTCGACTTGATGCAGCTGTGAAGGAGGTTGACAGCTTGGATGGTAGATATCTTGTGCACCATAATACAAGTATGTATGTCATAAATGTATTTAGCTCATTTAGAATAGCTGTGGTGATAAGCAGCTATGTGATCACTTTAGTTTATAGCCTAGCATTTGCTTTTTACTTCTGCCCAATGCATTTAAACTTCAAAAATTGTAAAATCGGTGGAGATTATTCTGTTTTATAAAATGTGTAAGTAGCATGTTTGCCACAGATCATTTTTCCTAAATCCAAAATAAAAATTCTATTGCCAGTCTGGGATTTTGATAAAATTGTGATCAATTGTGCAGCCCTCCTTTAAAACATTATGCATACTTTGTAGAAAATGAACACCTGCTAGTGACAAAATGTTGACAAATGGCCATGTCACAGCTATTCATTTATCGCTATAGAGTACCCAGTGCATGTTTTGCAGAGTGAAATCAGACTGCATCATTACCCCAGAGTCTGGCTCTGAAGTCCTCTGCCTCCTCTCTCGGTCCGGCTTGGCTCGGTTCCTCAGGCCCGTTGGCGCTGATCACAGAGTGTGTGCACTGACGGACGGGGAGCGGCACACCGACGACCCCCTCTCCACCTCCCACAGGAAAGCACAGCCCCTTTCCCCAGAGGCAGATCCCTTCTTCCAGGGTGAAACACTGGGAGATGGGTCAAAAGGTTGCAGGAATTATCTGGAATGGCGATCCAGAGAACTGGCCAAGCAGGAAGTCAGATTGTTAAGCAGAAGCAATTCTGCTTCTTGAACCAGATTCCCCTAACAGCTCCTATGCGGGTCACGTCTCCGATGAATTTCCGAGTGCTACCGTTTCCAGTTCAGGTATTTTTTTCCTAGGCAGATTGAATTCTTCACATACTCATTTGAGCCACTGTTTCTTATGGTCAGGAGTAAGAGAGGAACCCTGATAGGACTTTATGCTGAATGGCAAAAATGAAACGAATTCTTATGGGAAGCAGTCTGTGAAAGTTGTCTGCCCTGGAACATGGACAGCAGTTTGTGTAGCAGTTCCACGTTGACACCAGACGAGGGGAGACAGACAGCTGCCACACTGCGTGCCAGTATGTTTTGTCCTCGACTCGCCTTTTACCGAATCATTTTAAGATCTACCGAAACGCACGCAGAAAAGAAAAAGGAGTTCAGAGACAGTCTTTTACTGGCGATGGAGGTCACTGAAAACCACTGCTCACCTCATTAAACGGCTGAAAAAGACTGTCCGAGTTTGAAGAAAATAATGCTCAAAAGGGTTCAAAGTCACATGACAATGAAGGAAGTAAAACCCTATGTTACATCGCCGTCATTTTCAGTGTTGGTTAGTGAAATATAGATGCTGCAGGATGATTCATTATAATGCCGTTTTTATCTGTATACGTTTTAATTTCACATTTGTAAGATCCCCATTTAATTATCTGCCGTTTTCTGATTGAAACAGATATAGGGTTTAGCTCTGATTTCATAGGTATGCAAGCTCAAAAGCGAAACAGCAAATCTTCCAAAGAAAAGGGTTCTGCGTGTCATACGATGCTCAAAAGTCCTTCATTGACAAATAGAAATGGTCTGAACAGAAATCCACGAGAGTCTATTCAACGTCCTCTTCTGAGTTGAAAAATAGAATACGTCCAAAATGTGTCATGAGGGTATTTCCCTTCCCTTCTTCAATGATGTTTTCTCCCACACGTGAAGTTTCTGCGATGCCGTTTTCTGTTGTTCTTGCTCAGGGTTTACGGGTATCAGCACAGGAACACACTGGACCTGAATAAAAGAAAAACAGACTTCATTCAGAAAAGCAGGTTCAACAAATATAAACTTATTAACACTAAGGTGTTAGTTTCTTTAGTACAAATAGCTTGTCAAATTCACCAGTCCTGCAACAAAAATAATCCTTCCTTTACGAAAATTAAATCTCCAGTTTTGTTCAAACTTTTTTTTGTATTAATACAAATTTTATTTTATTTCTCAAGTATTAATTTAATGTAAATTAAAGCAATATCTTGTTTTATACTTCTTTTACTGAAAACAGCTATGTGGGATGTAAGTAAGATGCTCCTTTTTTAAAACCCAAAATAGCTTCCAGTTCAAGAGATGCCTTCAAAGCTCACTTGAAATACATTTTTGAGTGGTATAAGAAAAAAAATCCTGACTCAGTGATCTCATGCTGAAAGCTGGCTCTTTTTTTTATTTATTTTTTTATAAATTGTGTCAGCTTTGGTAAATGAAATATTTATAACAGTGTAAAAATAACTCAAAACACTTTCTTCCTCGGTACTTCTCCCAGACTGCTGCGCATCTAAACAGGCCGTGCAGACAGTGCAATGCTGGATGAAAGGTCTAAAACCTCAACAGCGATTTTTCACCCCTACACCTTGACCAACCATGCAATAAAATACAGTTCACACAAAATCCATCCCTGTATGCCAGCACACACTCAGACACCGTTAACGTATTCCCACTGAACTATTACGTAACAGCTCAACATCAACGAGTTTGCCACGGAGACGGGCTTCAAAGAGCAACACAAACATCTAACGTTACTTCACTGTGAACAACACTCACGTAAATGACGGCAACACAATGCACGCATTTTAACATCATTATTCACTGTGAAACCCCCACATGTCCACAAACACTGCAGCATGCAACACACAGTAACGTTACATGCACGCTTCACCCAGCTAACTAACGCTAGCCGAGCAATGTTATGTATTAAAGTGCATTGAAATACGTTAAGAAGCAATGCAGCCGTGGTGTGAGCGTAATAACCAAAGTCAATCGCCAACTAACAACGTTATCAGATCTGTATCAGCTCTGCTGTTAGCTAACTCTGCTTAGTTAACTAAGGTTAACGTTAGCGTAGCACTTGTTAGCTCATAGCTGGCGTTAGTCAGCCTGTTAAGTGACGTTAGCCACTGATAACTGCGAGGTAGTTGACTTTACTTAAGACAGTTAGAGGGCTAAGCAAAGCACAAACGTATCCAATATGCTAACTGCAACTAAAACGGTCTATTTAGGCAGCTGTCACGTACATATAATAGAGGTAAACAGACCTGGCTTCGTTGGAACAACACAGTTTCAAAATGGCTACCTTAGCAGCGGCAGCACACATTCATCAGCCTGCTAAGTGCTAGCGAGCTAACTTGCAGTATTTCGTGACGTTTACCTTCTCCGAAGCAACATAGTCTCCAATAGAGAATGTTTCAAGGATATAAATAGTCTGAATACATTAACGAGATTGCACTTTTTTACAACTATGCACTTCTTTACTGATACGCTATTGACGTTTGTTTGGGTTTTCTTACCACTCGCTGCCACTGAGGGATTCGAACAGCCTCAATGATGCTACGTTCAAGATCGGCTGCGATTATGCAACCTAAAGAGGTCCCTTAGTGTTTTTAAAGTCGAACAGGCTCATAGTCTCTCTAAATACGTTTCTTTTGAAATAACATACATGTTTGTACCTGGAATTCTGCAGTGATATACAATACATATATATATTTAAAGTACTCCAAGGACACTATGTCGGTAGCACGTAAAGTGGGATATTGCTGTCCTGAATATAACTTAATACCTCCCCCGCCACTGACAGCCAAACCAGTCGATAACAGAACAGTCTCATTCAGTTTGAGAATATAAGAAGACAGGCATTTAATCGAGCAAGGATACAATGGCAGCATGCAAACGACCTCTAAATTAAGCTCGTCAACGTTAACTTTGTGACCACTAACTCTGTGTAATTGTGCGTGTAGTGGCCATTGAATGACAAAACAATTAAAGGGTAACGTATACGTCACTTCTGTGTTTTATTGATTGTTACAGTATGAAAGCTCTGTATTGCATCAGGGTGTATGCTAACTGTAAATAGCACAACGTTGGTATAGGGTGGTTATATCATGTATATAATTCCATTGTGCATGTCTTATCAGAAATCAGAATCAGAAACAGGTTTATTGCCAGGTAGGTTCACACATACTAGGAATTTGACTTGATGTCATGGTGCATACATAAAATATAAAAAAAAACAAGAAATCTAATATAAAACACATCTTTTTTACACCGTAATAAAATACAGTTAAATAGCAATAAGATAAATAAAGCAGTAGTTTGCATGGAAATAGAATGCTATGAATGAATTTTTGCATATAAACTAAGAAATGTGAAATCAGAATATGTGCAGAATATGGGGATTATGTTATTACTAATTAATAACGTTTCTTTTACAGATTCAAAATGATTACATTTACATCTGGAAGACGTTTAATTTCTGGGGTAAGAAATCCACTGTTGACAATGCACATGCACTAATAAAAACATGTTTTTTATGCACTTTGATGCTTATCATGTTCTCAGGTTTCAGTATGGAGGTGTCTTCAGCAGATAACCAGAGCCCCACACTACACAACATCTCAGCTGTTTCCTTCTCAAGCCTCCTCAGTGTTGATGTCATCCAGACTCACTCCCACCAACAGTTTGTTGAGCACCAGCTGGCATGCCTCACGTCTGTGCCACGGGGACTCAAGAGCCACCTCAGGGAGAGTCGACAGGAAAGACGGCTTCAGTTTGAGGGCCCTCAGCCAGGCTCCTAAACCAGCCCTCTACATCGGTGTCTCTGGGCTTATCCCTTTCCTGTCTGCCCCTCTCCTGATGGCTGCCACACAGACCTTCTACCCGGAAGTGGCGTATGCTCAGATGGTCTACGGAGCCTCCATAGTGTCCTTCCTCGGAGGCGCCCGCTGGGGGTTTGCCATCCCAGCCGGTAGTCCTGCTAAGCCTGACTGGATGAACTTGGGCAACAGTGTGGTTCCTGCACTCCTGGCCTGGATGGCGCTGCTCTGCAGGGACAATATAGCAGAGGGAGCTCTGGTGGTTATTATGGGATTGGGCCTGTCTCTGCACTATGACCTGACCCTGCTGCCGGGCTACCCCTCCTGGTTTAAAGCCATGCGGACTATACTCACCCTGATCGCCACTTTCTCACTGGTGGCTACCCTGACAATTAAGAAATTCTGCCCTGAGAAGAAACTTAAAGAGAGTAAGAAATGACTCAAAAGGGACAGTGTGTACTTTTGAAACCACATGGACTCAATAAAACATTCAAATTATGCACAGCTGTGAAGACACTCAGTAATTATGTAACTAAGAAATAGTTTTTTCACTTTTAGGACGAATGTGAGTGAAATATCATTTAGAAAACAAATAAGTTGCCATATCCAAGCATAAAACAAGAAAGACTTTGAAAGAAAACATTTGTAGAATCACATTGTTTGTGAAAAGTTATTATTAGCCGAATAGCCGTGCGTACTCTGATCACGCTTCTTTCTCACTGGTGGCTAGCCTAAAAATGAGGAAATGCTGCACTGAGAAAAAGCGGTTCAGAACTGAATTTACGAGGACAGTTTGTACTCTGAGTCACATGGACTCAATAATAAGTCTGGTCTGATTTGTTCATACTGTACATCATCCCTGAACAGTAACTCTGTAACATATTAAATAGTTCTAATATCTTTTGGGACAAACGTGACATGTATACAAGTGTTATATCTTACAAATAAATGAATAAAAACAGTTGCAAAAGGGGCTCTAAAATATCCAAATGTTGAACAACAAATGTAACATTAATCAGAATCATATTCCTTGCTGTGAAAAGTACAAGGAGAATAACAGGAAATAGGTTTCCTCTGGAGGGGGGCTGGCATCTCCCTTAGGGATAAGGTGAGAGGATTCGGAGTCGAGCAGTTGCTCCTTTATGTAGAAAGAAGACAGTTGAGGTGGTTAGGATGCCACCTGACTGCTTTCCTAGGGACGTGTTTCAGGCACATCCAGCTTGGAGGAGAGAAGGGGCAGACCCAGGGCCAGCTGGAGGAAATCACAGAGGTTGAGGTAAAAAATATAATCTTAGGCTTAAGAGGTTCTAAGGCTAGGGATGCAGATGATTTAGACACCAACTTTATAAAAACACATATCGACGGTCTAATAAAACCAATTACTATGCTAGTAAATCAATCTATCAGCACGAGGGAAGTTCCATCATCCTGGAAGGTGGCCACGGTGACACCGATCTTTAAATCTGGGGATAAGGCAATGATGTCCAATTATAGACCAATCAGCATCCTCCCCTGTGTCTCTAAGATAGCTGAGAAATGGGTGTCAAAACTAATCACCAAACATTTAGACAAAGGTTTCGCTCCACTCCACCCAATGCAGTTTGGTTTTCGTGCTCACCACTCCACTGAGACAGCTAACTGTTTTGTGGAAAAGGTTAAATGTATGTTGGACACGAGCCCATATGTAGGTGCTGTCTTCCTTGATCTCAGGAAGGCTTTTGACACTGTTGACCACCAAGTGCTCCTCACAAAGCTGACTCATTTCAATTTTTCGGCAGTTTCGATACAGTGGGTTAAGTCTTACTTATCTAACAGAAAACAGTGTGTTTTGGTCAACGGAGCCAAATCCCCCTACCTTGTGAACCCTGTTGGGGTTCCACAAGGTTCCATTCTTGGACCATTACTGTTTTCTCTGTACATGAATGACTTGCCTAATGTATGTCCTGAGTTGAATGTGCAAATGTATGCCGATGATGCGGTCATCTTTGTACACGGGAAAAAGACTGAAATAATCACATCCTGTCTCTCAAATGCTTTGGACTAGGTTCAACACTGGCTGAACAACATTTGCTTACAGTTAAATGCAAAAAAAACAGTATGCATGATGTTCAGTATACAACCAGTCAAAATCGAAGGATCCAACGTGTTTTTAAACGGAGCAGAAATAGAACTAGTCTCCCAGTTCAAGTATCTTGGAGTCATACTGGACTCAAACTTGACTTTTAAGAAACATATCAAGAAAGTATCCAATACTAATAAATTCAACTTGCAACATTTTAAACAAATCAGACCTTTCTTAACTGTCAATGCTGCAAAGTCATACCTCCACTGTATGATTCTATCCCACATTGAATACTGTTTTACAAACTGGTCGTTTGCTTGTGCCACAAACCTGAAACCCATAGAACAGCTGCACAAGAGAGCTATCAAGGTGTTTGACAGAAAGCCAAATTCATACCACCACTGTACCATCCTTGAGAAACACAATTTCTTGAGTTTTGACAATTTTAAGTCTTTTAAAAGTATGTGTTTTATTTATAAATGTTTACATGGACTGCCCCCCCCCCCCCCCTCTTAGGGGAATTCATCCACAAAAAACACACTGGACGCTGCACTAGGTCGGAAACCCGACGAGACTGTGAAGTCCACCGTAGACGGACCACTTTTGGACAAAATGTCCTCTCCGTTAAAGGCAGCTCATTGTGGAATAGCCTCCCAACTGAGATACGGGATTGTCCCACTCTCAATAGTTTTAAAGGTCAACTCAAAGAATGGTTGAGAAACAAACAGACGTGCAATCACCGCTAAATGCACTTTGATACAGGGGTATCTCCTCTTGCACTTTAGGTAGCTCTTGTATCTCCTCCTGCACTTTATATGTCATAGCTGCTACATTGTACTGCCATGTGGTAAATGCTTGTATATGCTGCTCATGCTCTTCCTGGATATCATGTATTTATTTTTGCCATGTATATAACTGTCATGTTCATAAATGTTGTATGTGACGGGACTACGGATGGAAATTAGCTCAAAGCTAAAATCCGTCTCATTTACATTTGTAAGCATTATTTTGTTTAAAATGTTCATCAATGTGCACTGTCCCGGTTCAAATAAACGATTAACTGAAAATGAAAATGGAGGGATGATATCTCCACGCTGACCTGGGAGCACCTTGGAACCCCCCAGTGTATTTGGTTGTTGTGTCCAGGGAAATGGAAGTTTGGGCCCTCTGCTGGATCTGCTTCCCCTCGACTCGACTCCGGATAAGGGGTTGACGATGGATGGATGATAGAGGGAAGAGAAAACATCATTTTGTGTTTGCTATCTATCTTGCAAACGATGGTCAACTGAGTATCCTTTTTAACCCTCCTTTGTTATTATCCCAAATGAAAAGAGGTCCACCCACTCTATAACTCTTTGTGAAGTTTATTCAGCCTGAAAAGCAACCACTAAAAGATGTTTTGTAACATTGTTATTTTGCTGTTTGCAAAGGGAGAACCGTACATGAAAGGAAATGTACACTCAGCTTGCAAATGATGACATAAATTACCATGAAAAGGTAAAAACATTTCTACGTCTAATAATAATATTGCAATATCGTAGTAATGTCAGATGCCACTGATGAGTGAAATGATCTCTTTTCGAGTGTACACAGTGACTAAGAGGCACTATTATTAACAGAATCACATGATATATATACAAAAATAATCCAGTGAATATTAACGGTGGTGTGCTGTTCAGGAATCACTTACCATGGAACTTCGGTTCCATTAATACAATAGGCTCAAGTGGTTTGATCAGTCTTCCGAGTAGCAATGCACTTAAACATTTCTTTAAGAAAAAATAAGGAGAAAACACAAACATAAAAACAGTGCTTTCACATCTTGTCTAAGGAATGTTCCACGTAGAAAGAAAAAAACTCAGGTCCGTCCATCCAAAATAGGACTCCATCGCTGTGAAAAAAGGTCCTTATCACAGGGATCGCTTTGTCTTTGAATACACAACATGGGAACTGACTTTCTTGTAAAAGTGTCAAGTGGATAAAATTGTCACTATAAAAATTGTGACAAAGGCAAGTAGCCGTTTTGGCCGTTTTTCCAGTATGAAATCCGCTGTCATATGCCTAATGAATGTGAAAAAAAACGTGTGACCTACGGTGGCTCATAGGTGCAAACACGCTACAACGGCCCAAATCACTTCCATTAGGAGAAACGCGCTGCAGCTTCAGAAACGTTGCAATTATAAAAACACAAAAGGGCCAAAACACATGCAAATGAAGAAACATCTCCACCAACTTGACAACACATGCGCAGCATTTACTAAAAGCGCTATGTAGACGAAACGCTGCAAGAAGCTCCAAACACAACGGAAAAGGAATATGAAGTTGGCCAACTTTAACTCTTGCAGAGATAGTCCGTTTCATGTGTTTTGAGACTCTTGCAGCGATTTTTTATTTTCAGTGCTTTGTATTTGCAGCGATCTGTTTACGCAGCGCTTTTAGTAAACGCTGGGCATGTCAAGTTGGTGAAGATGTTTTTTTGATTTGCATGTGTTTTGGCACATTTGTGTTATTCTTTATTTGCACTGTTTTTGAAATTACAGCACGTTTCTCCCAATGGAAACGTTTTAGGACGTTGTAACGTGTAACGTAAAGCCTATTCGAGGCAGAAACACACTTTTGTGTACCTTAAGGTGCCGCTTTTCTTCAGTTTATGCTGTTTGTAGGAGACATGGCTGTTCACAGTTTGAAAATGTTTAGCTTCTCAAAGCACAGCCAGCCCTCCATCACAGCGGCTAGTGATCATGTTGCCTACTTCCGTCCAGGTATCAAGGTGAGGGTCGTAGATTTCCACCGAGTCCACCGTCACCGGGGCGGAGAAGTCTCTGCTGGCCGCCCTGCCCCCGACTGCGTACAGCATCCCGTTGACCGCTGACACTGAAACGCCGGCACGAGCAGTGGACATCGACGCCACCTCCATCCATTTCTCCTGTAAGAACAAATGTTGGCACACAGATATAAACAGGATTGGGGAGTAACGGATTACATATAATGGGATTACGTAATCAGGATACAAAAAAAGTTAACTGTATTGCCTTACAGTTACATTCAAAAGAATAATCAGATTGCTGGTCATTTTTTTTAAAGAACCAGAGAAACTTCAACCACATATAAACATTGTATTTTACATTCATGTCTGGTTGAGTCTGCACTTCCCTATCGCAGCAAAATGAATCAAAATGGACTCCAAGCTAGCAAAATATTATACACAAAGGTCCCATGTCATGCTTTTCCGGTTATTACCCGTCCCCTTGTGTGTTATGCAGCTTTTTATGCATGTAAACGGTCTGCAAAGTCACAAACCCTCAAAGTACACCCTGTAGCGAGTAAAACTCTAACACAGAAAAGACCTGTCTATGCTGCCCCAGAACGCCTCGTTGGAGATTTCTCTTTTTAATTTTCTTCTACCGGGAACCAAGTGACGTAACGACGACCCCATGGACCAATTGGTCCGTTACGTTACGTCCGCGGAGCCGTTACGTTAAGTCCGTGGATTGGTCCAAATGGACCAATCCCGGACTTCCTCACACACACACACTCAATCTTTTCTCAGCTGCAGCTCTGCCGATTTCTCCTCCCTGAGACGGCAGGACGCGCACACACACAAACTCCCAGCCAGGCTGCGGGTGTGTGTGTGTTCGGGCTGGGTTTCGCTGTGTCTCGCTGTCTCGCAGAAGGCCACTGGGCTCATAGGGAGGGGGGGGTCAGGAGCTCCAACAAGCCGTTTAGGACAGAGAGTGAATACACATACTATACAGAGATGCTGTATGAGAAACCAATGTGAGTTTGGAAAATTGCACAATATAAATCTATTCTAGTAGACCTCAACAATGGAATTATGATCAGTAGAAATGGCCATGACATGGGACCTTTAAAAAGCTGGTAGTGTAGTATAATAGTCATCATGGAGCTTAATGGTTATGCTCGGGGTAACCCTGAGAAAACTTTTATTTCGATTGTGGTTTTGTTTTCACACTGAGAAAATAATAAATATATATTCTCTCTTGAATATTAACACAACAGTAGAGCATTCATTTGAAAATGTCTAAAATAACTTTTAAGAAAGATTTGTGATTTTGAATTGTTTTGAAGGTATTACTGAACATTAATTGATCCCATTTCACCTCTTCTGGACAGTACTTCTCCACCGTCTCCAGTGCCCCCAGCGCCTCGTTCCAGCCACCCACGGCGTAAATGCAGTTATTGAGGCAGGTGACGCCCACGTAGGCCCGACGCGTGACCATGACAGGGAGAGCGCTCCATCGGCGAGAGATGGGATCATACACCTCGGCCGAACGCAGCTCCATTCCCTCGTCACTGATGCCTCCAATCACGTAAATAAAGCCTGGAAGGAAAAGTAAAAAATTCACTGCAGTGTCATTGTTCACACTTTAAATAACAAAAGAAAAGGCTATGAACACACCTTGTAGCTCACAGCAGCCGAAGTAGTACCGAGGGACGGCCATGCTTCCGATCACCTCCCACCGGTTCTCCTCCGGGTCGTATCGCTCCATCGTCTTCCCGATCTCCGAGCCAATCCAACCACCTGCAGGAGAACAGGAAAATCTTCAGCTTGTGCTTTTTTTATGATGTTTCCCAAATTGCACTTGTTATGTATTTATTATCATTGGACTAAATTATTTGGTTGAATTTGTACAGCTTTTCATTGTCCCATGTTTTGCACTCATGTTATGTTATTCTATTGCCCAATCCAGCTCTGTCATTGTATGTATTTTATTGCCCTTAAAAAAAAAAAATGTCAAGCATGACATGTCAACTGCTGATAGCATTTTATAGAAAAATGTAATTAAAGGTTTTTGTATTTTTACCTCCAAATTATTAACTTTTTTCTTAATTATTTCAGTGTAAGGCTTAAAGTTGACATGCTTTAATATATAAAAAGGTCTTTATTTTCCTCATACTGTCTATGCTGCAGCACCTCTATTCACCCTCTGTCTGATGTCCTGCCTTTTAACCTATCACATACATACGTTGGTGCGCTAGCCAATAGAAGCGCGAGTGTAACATAGTGATGTCATTATGTTACGGAAGTAAATAAAGGAGTCTAACGGAGGTGTTTCAGGCAGGGGGGTAAACTCCCTCCGGAGAGAACTTTTGGATTTTAGCCTTTGCAGACCATTTACATGCACACAAACTATATAACACACTACAGGAAGGGGAAAACCCCCAAAAGCATTACAAAAAACCTTTAAGAGTTTTTTCTTAACAGCACTTATCAGGCTCTCTGTTTTGGTTTATTGAAGCAGTCCTGTTTGTATCCATTTACCTAGAGTTTTGTCAATACATTTTATTTTACCAAGAACAGCTACACGACTAGTAATCAGATTTTGTGACATTGTGTGTTTGACAAACATGGTGCTACTGTGGCATTTACCAAGTGCATACAGAGCTCCGTGGCAGGGGCAGACGCCGACCCCACAGCGCGGGAAGTTCAAAGACGCCACGGCGGCCCACTGCTTGGTCACCGGGTCGTACCTCTCAGTGCAGTCGAAGATCATCGAGTCTTTCTCCCCTGGGGAAACACAGATTCTTTCTTACAGACTGAAGACTGTTGAGGTTATTTAATTCCTGGGTTTGAAACACGACAGCTCTCTCACCTCCCACCACGTAGATCATGCCCTCCAATACGGCCACCCCCAGCCCGCTGCGGGCCTGGTGCAGGGACGACACGGTGGTCCAGTACTGGTTGAAGGTGTCGAAGCGCTCCACACAACTCAACGCGCGGCTGTCACTCCAGCGGCCGCCCTGCAGCCGAGTGTAGCCCCCTGGGAAGAAATATAGAGATAATATGGCATTTCAGAATCAAAAGTCCTTTATCCCTCCATAAGTGGGGACATTTACATTGTTTCAGCAAGGGGAGAGTGCAGAAAAAAGGTGTAGACTAACGTTGTTATATTTAGTTGTACTTATTAGTTTGATGGAGACAACAGAGATACTCTTTTACGGTACGTCCACACGGCAGCGTCGCGTTGAAGCTTGCCGGTGGGCGTGTCTGGCGTGCGACCAACAACCAATCACATTAATCTCCCACCCCGGACACACAAGCATGCGGTTTGATTGGCTAGAGCTTGTACTGGCATATGATTTGATTGGCTGACGCTTCCGTCAAAGCTTGAAAAGTTGAACTTTTCTCAACTTTTAAAGCGAGCAACGGAGGCCAAGCGACGCAACGGAGGCCAAGCGACGCAACGGAGGCCAAGCGACGCAACGGAGGCCAAGCGACGCAACGGAGGCCAAGCGACGCAACGGAACCACAATGCAGTTCGGCAAAGCCTGACATCACCCCATTCAAAGTGGATGGGAAGCGTCTCCGTTGAAGCACGCGACGCTGCCGTGTGGACGTACCGTTAGGGTTTGTTGATTGTTATGTGTCTATCTGAGAGAAAACTCCCTCTGGAGGGAACACAGAGATTTGAGCCTTTCCAGACCAATTACATGCACAAAAACCAATATAACACACTACAGGAAAGGGAAGCCTTGAAAAGCATCATAGGGCCACTTTAACACATGTAAAATGCACAGTGTTACTTCACAGTAACTTTTTCTGGTGTTTCTTATTTAGAGGAAATCAATCAGGTGAATTTTGAATGTTGAAAAAGGTCATGTGAAACAGCACCTATAGCATAGAGGTATTTTCTGGCTTTTCTTCTGGGTCTCATCTTGGCTGGTTGGAGCTGGCTGTACATCTTATTCTCTTTGGGAGACTTTGTGACTTCAGTGTATTCCTTAAGAAGAGTCTGCAGTGCCACCCGCAGGCTGAAGTCGGTAATACCTTTAAAAAGCATTTCAAGATGTTGTTAACAATGTAGCTCTTAATCAACTTTACAGCAATATTGTGAATACTACATCAATACATGTGCAAGATATAAACGTTGGGATGCCAAATGTTATGTTCCCTCACCCTCGATGTACTTGAACAGTCTCTGTGGGGACAGCAGAGGGAAGCGCACCGGCTCCAACACCTCCACTACGTGTTTTTTCCTCTTTGCCATGTCTTGGAGGACCCAGTCCATGGCTGCCGTGAACACCTGGTACTCATCCTCGATCCTCAGCTCTTCACTTCTTAGGAGCCTCACCAGCTGATCCTTCGACAGGCCCCTGAACTCATCGGTCACACACACCTAAAAGGAAGCAGATGATAGGCAGAGTTGAAATGCTTCCATTCTGATTAAATGCTGATGGTGTTTGGCTTACATCGACTAAGGTCAGAAAAAAACAGATTTCATGTATATCAATCTTCGATTTACAAGAAAAAGAAGGAACAGATTTTGACAGAAACACTAGGGATGGGAACTGGTTCCAAATTGTCTGATCCATTGTAATTGTAGCGCTCTGAGGTTTTACATTATCTTAAATCATATGCCAGCATGTTTTTCTGACAGTTTTGTGCTGCAAAATATCTGCGGTATGACGTCAAAATCTGTGTCTACGCAACTTGAACTTCAAACAAATGGGAGTCATTGCGGAGAGGAAGAAAAAAGGGGAAGAAACTCATACTTTTTTCACAAAAAAATGCAAAAGTGCTACTTGTGATGTCTGTAAAATTGGTGTACTGTATTTTAACAAATGTTATAAGGCAGAAATTCAACACTGTGTCCAGACTCAGAGATGCTAAAACAGCTGTGGTGACGCTACAAAGACCTGTGTAGGACTACTGTCTTTCATGTGAGAAAATGTAACCTACATCAATAGGGAAATAGATAGAGAATCAAACTGATAAGTAGAATAAATAATGGATTTTGCATCAATCAGAGCCAGGTGTTAACTTGAGTCAGATTCGAGTCACAGATTTGATGACTTAAGACTTGGCGGCGCATTAAGATTTGATAAGGGCTTCAACATTAGTTAAGGGCTTTCAGGCATGGCCTGGGACTTGCAAAGGCTTAAGACTTAATTGTGACTTTCAAAATAAATGGCTTGGTATCCCAGGTATCAATAAATACAAATATTATCCCTGTCAGAATCAGTGCCTCTTATTATGATATTGTCTCCTACCTCCAGAAAGTGAACCTGAATGTAGTTCTCTGTGAACTCCAGCATCTCCATGCAGGCGATCTGCTCCAGGAACTGAAAGATGCCCACACAGTTGGACGGGTCTATGTGGCCCTTGAGGAACCCTCCGCAGATGGACACCACCTCGTTCAGCTGCAGCATGTCCGCCGCCACCATCAGCTCCTGGACGTTCTCCACCGTCACACTGATCACGCCTGATAGGGAAGCAAACATGATATAAAACAGATCTGATGGAACATGATGATGTGGGGAATATCAGAGGAGATGCAGACCTGTGTATATGAAGTCCAGGAGAATCTCAAACACTTGAGTCTCCACTCCGAGAATCTGCACCTCCTCTTTATCCGCCTCCCTCATCCCCCCGGAGAACAGAGCGGAGAAGTAAGGGCTGCTAGCAGCGAGCACCAGGCGGTGGACCATGAAGACCCGGCTGCCCACCTTCAGACCCACATCACAGAAATCTGTGCGGAGCCGCATCTTGTTCATCTGGGCCAGGATGAGTCTGGCGTAGCGATCTGAGGCCAGCAGAGCCTGCTCCGACGCCTGGGTTGCCATGGCAGCTGCAGCATCACCACCACCACAACCAGTAGATGCTGACATGGAGGTGGAGGACATAGCAGCTGGGGCAGGTATGTGCTAACATGGAGGCCAGTATTCCCAAACCCTCCTCTCTAGTGGGTGTCAGCATGAAACACACCTGCAAGAAACACAAGCTCATGCATTAACAACAAAACACACACTGAGGCTTAGTCGGACATATTATAAAGAATATGCATTTACAACGGACTTCCTTGCTTGTCTCTTGCTAAAGTCTTAGTGCATTTATAGAGAAGTTACTGTATGTTCCTGTTGCTATTAAACATTTAACGAAAAACGACGTTAGCCAGACGTGCTAGCCAATACAGACAGCCATTCAACCATCATATTCATCAGTTTAATACTCCACTGAAATGAGACAACTTTACCACGAAACAACCCCTTCTATAAGAGTGCAAATTCGCTTGTATTGGGGGGAAAATATATGAAATTCAGCTTGTTTTTAGCCGTGACTTACCCATAAGTTTACTGATGAGGATGCAGGCAACTTCCGTCGTTCTGCAGACTGTCAACACATCCTCCACGATCGACTGCTCTGGTCTGGCGGTTGAATGTGTCCAGTCATAACTAGCCGATCCCCGATAAAGGTACACGTTTTTTACCTGAATCATGTTTTTCTGTCGCCACTGACCCTTGTTGTCGGCATGTCCGTCCTGAGAGACAGAGCTTAACATAAAGGTATGAGTTATTTAGCCTAAGTTTGAATTATTTTGTGCTTCCTTCCTTAATTTTGGCCTGTTTACTCAATAACTTTCGCCAGGTTGGTTGTAACACACAACACCAGATGGCAGTGTCGCCTTTGAACAAGCAGCTAAACAAATGGAAGTCCTTGACAACAGCCACAGAAACCTGTACATGTACATTATCATAGTATTCATAGCATACCAGCCCCCAGCACAATAGTCATTTTTCAGATACAGCCAGCCTACACTGTGTTAAAGGTCCCATGTCATGCTTTTCCGGTTATTACCCGTCCCCTTGTGTGTTATGAAGGTTTTTATGCATGTAAACGGTCTGCAAAGTCACAAACCCTCAAAGTACACCCTGTAGCGAGTAAAACTCTAACACAGAAAAGACCTGTCTATGCTGCCCCAGAACGCCTCGTTGGAGATTTATCTTTTTCCATTGTTTTCTTCCTGGGTACAGTGACGTGCCCATACCCAAATGGACCAATTGGTCCAAATGGACCAATCCGTGGAGCCGTTACGTTACGTCCGTGGAGCCGTTAGGTTAAGACTTCCTCACACACACACACTCAATCTTTTCTCAGCTGCAGCTCCGCCGATTTCTCCTCCCTGAGACGGCGGGACGCGGCGAGGCTGTGAGTTTGTGTGTGAGCACACACACAAACTCCCAGCCAGGCTGCGGGTGTGTGTGTGTGTGTTCGGGCTGGGTTTCGCTGTGTCTCGCTGTCTCACTGGGCTCATAGGGAGGGGAGGGGGGGGGGCAGGAGCTCCAACAAGCCGTTTAGGACAGAGAGTGAATACACATACTATACAGAGATGCTGTATGAGAAACCAATGTGATTTTGGAAAATTGCACAATATAAATCTATTTTAGTATACCTCAACAATGGAATTATGATCAGTAGAAATGGCCATGACATGGGACCTTTAAACTGTAACCTCATTCACTGGACACTTGGCCTCTAGAGCTAGCTAACATACTCTTAGCAATGGGTAGTCCAGTTTGTTTTAATCAGTAGCTTGACATCAAATTGGATTTAAATATAATGTTGGAAACCTGTTATTAAACAAAATCTAGCACTGCTTGGGCCTGTCAGACCTATCTGAGTTGAGGTGAAAAACACCTAGACAGTTACAGAAAAAAGTCCTGTAACTGTCACTTGACTTGTATTTCCTGATATGTCAAAGTGTCACCCAGGATCTAACAGCCAGTGCTGTACTAGAAAATATGTGGTTCAAGGTTCAAGGTTCAAGGTTCTTTATTGTCAATCTGACATAGCTACAGAGTAATTATGCAGTTGAAAATCTTATGTCACAGGCTTCTCCAACAATGCAACATAATAACATAACATAATAACAATAAGAGCAAGAGCAATACAAAAATAATAATAGTTATAAAAATGAAATAAAGTTATGATGTGGAATAGTGCAGTATGAGTCTATATACAAGTTATTGGAATGATATATATATATTAGGTATTAGATACATACTACTGAGTAGCAGTTGAATGTTTGAAGTTGTTTCAACAGTTCCATTTTTTTAACAGTCTCACTGCCCGCGGGAAGAAACTGTCTCCGAATCTTCTTGTCCTTGCCAGGATGCTGCGGTAACGTCTGCCAGACGGCAACAGAAAGAACAGTTTGTGGCTGGGGTGATGGGGGTCTTTGATAATCCGTAGTGATTTCTTCCTGAGCCGCTGGGAGTAAAGGTCCTCCATGGATGGCAGCTCCGTCCTGGTGATGTGCTGTGCAGTTTTCACCACCCTCTGTAAAGCCTTACGATCGAGGTCGGTGCAGCTGCCGTACCAGGCCGTCATGCTGCCAGTGAGGATACTCTCTATCGTGCACCTGTAGAAGTTGCAGAGTATCCTGGAATCCATTTTGAACCTCCTCAACCTGCGGAGGAAGAAGAGCCGCTGTCGAGCTTTCTTGGTGATGGTGGTGTTGTGAAGAGACCATGTCAGGTCCTCAGTGATGTGGACCCCAAGGAACCTGAAGCTTTTGACTCTCTCCACCGTAGTCCCATTGATGGCGATGGGGGCGTGTTCCTCTCCCTGCTGCTTCCTGTAGTCCACAATCAGCTCCTTTGTTTTGCTGATGTTGAGATGGAGGTTGTTCTCCTGGCACCAAGATGTCAGGTTTTCGACCTCCTCTCTGTACGCCGTCTCGTCATCGAAAATATGTGACACCAACTTTGGCAAATTAAAACTCAAAAGACAGATATGTGCCAACCTGGCAACTCCCGTCGCTCTGTTTAGTTACATTTCCAGCTTTTCCTTTTATGCTAGAGGTGATCCTCCATTGCCATTATCTTAACTAAACAATAAGCTCATTGGACACAGCTTAAATAGACTCTACTGTAAGCCAATATAAGGCAGAGCTCACCCTTTCAATTGACGCAGGGCTCAACAATTGCCCGCTTGCCCAGGGGCAAATGAAAAGCCAAGTCGAGCTAATAAATCTAGAAACTCATTTGCCCAATTTGGTGAGTTCTAAAAAAGAATAAAGTTGAGAGATGCCAATGTGGGAAAAAGACAAAGTCAAAGCTGAAGCGTAGGCAAGCTATTGAATTATCCTGGAAACACACTATTATTTAGGTGGTGTAAGAGGATGTGGGTGAAACTCCACAAATAAATAAACAACTGTGTATCGGGGAAAGTACAAATGTACTTTGGGCAAGTCGATTCCAGACTTACTTGTGTAATGGGACAAACAAACCCAAAAATAGCTGTGAAAACCTCATAAAAAGCAAACACTAATTGGAATGTCCCCCCCTTTCTTTGCATCCAAATAACTGAAAATATAGTCTTAAAATTTCCCTTTTCATCCCCGAGAGACTATGGAGATTTTCAGAACATGAAAATAATTATGATGACATGACAGCCAAGCAAATTAATATATAGCGTTTAATGATGAAGTAAAACAAAGAAAATATACATGTATATACTGCCAAGATCTGTCATATTCAGCTTTGATCTTACCCTGAATAAACTTGAACCTTTTTAAACCATGTTTTAAGCTATATTGGGATATTTTCCAAATGTATCCCATTGAAATGTTGATCAAAACGTTTTAAACTTAAATATTAACATTTTCAAAGGAGGATGTTTTCTTTATCTTTTAATCAGATTCGTTTTTTCTCAATGGTAGCACAAGCACTGTCACTTTCCACACAAGCCTGAGGTGTGTTAATCACATTACGTATTTTTAGCAGTCGTGAAGTGATCAGAGCTGTTTTGCAATTCAAGAGCCTCATTCGTTTCTCATTGAAGTTTGAGTACAGCCACTATTCATCAATGGACGGTACATGCTATTGAGGAACATACATGTTTTCTACAAGTCCAGGATGATAATATGTCCATGAGACGTTGGTATAAATAACTGAGACATTTGTTGTTTGTGGCTTCTGGCTTTTTATATCAAATCAATCTTTTAAGCAAATTGACATTGCTTTAGGTGTTTAATTTTCAATATGAACATGTGTCTTTTTCTTTTGCCTTTTGTTCTTTAGGCTGTTGCCCGGGCAGGTGCCTCTTGTAAAACAGGTTTTAGTAAGTAGGTGAGGTGTTAAAATAAATGTGAAAGTAGTGACACCGCCTTCTTTTGGTTAGAGTTGTTCTGTTACAGTATGATTTTTTTTATTTGTAGTCTCTCTAAATGTTTGTGCTTGTCACGAGCATGAGGATTATTTTCACCAATAATAATATCCCTTCACTGTGGTGATGGGAGCAGTACGATTTCCCTGCTCCCAGAATCTCCAATGTAGTGGGAGAAAAAAGTAAATAGTGTGAGGGTCATCCTATGGAAAGCGGTCACCATAATTACCATTCGGGTTTAAGTGCAGGGTATGTCTGACTTTTTCATCAGGGCTCTGTTTTCTTGGCTAGACGATGCATTGACCAGGAAAGAAAAACATCATGAATTGTGCTTAAGGCTTCTTATGGGAGTAGGTAGAGTTCAGCGTTTACGGACTACTTGGCCATCAAACCAGAAAATGCAAAACAAGTAATTAAAGCGCTCTGTGGAATTATTTTTTTATTATTTTTTCCATGATATTGCGCACAATGTATACTCGAAAAAGCCCTAACCCTAACCCTGTTGTATGATGAGTGTATTCAATTTTCTGTTGTTAATACATCTTCTTTCTTATTTCTAATACCCCTCGATTGTATTTCAAATGGTGTCTTGTACATGTTTGTTCTTATATTGCTAGACAAGGCTCCTTTCCTCACCTGACAGGACTTGTAAACTGCATAACCCTTCTTTATTTTGGCTTGGTTCACCACCTACTATGTACATACAGTATTGTGCTTTCAGACCAACCTGGTTTCTGATTTGAACTCTGAAGCTTCTCTGCAGTGTTTCAGTCCTTTGCAACATTAGTTTGCTGGCTATGTGCCTGCTGGTTCTTTTTTTAATCTATTTGAGATGTGAACTCCTGCAGTGAGATTGTCCTGAGAGCTTGAGGAATACAGAGGTTCTTCTTTTATTATAGGTATTTTATTTTATATACTTTTTTGGGTAGCACTTTACAATAATACTACCCTTATAAAGGGTTTACGGATAGTTTGTAATTCCTTTATTAATTAGGTTGTGAACACTTTATAAATCATTAATAAGCTTTTATAAGACATGAGATAAACAGGGCAACTGTGACCGGTTGCTTGCCAAATAGTGAGCCCACATTTATCTGTACTGCTAAGCCTTATATTGGCTACCTAGCTTACTTCGTCAGCCAGCATCCTTGGTATCTGTTGTTTACCGAGTTGATTCACTAAGTAGCCAATATAAGGCTTAGTCATCTTGCCAAATAGTGAGTCTGTGTTGATGTGGCATTTTTTTTTAATGGTTTGTCAGCAAGCAGTATTTACATTACATTACATGTTACTTGTTAGACGCTTTTATCCAAAGCGACTTACATACTCAATACTGTGGGCAATCCCCACAGGAGCAACTTGGGGTGAAGTGTCTTGCCCAGGGACACAACGACATGCTGACTGCAGTGGGGTTTGAACCTGTGCTCCCCTGATCTGAACACCAACGCACTAACCACTGCGCCACAGCCCCCCAGTATAATGTTTTCTCATTGTAAGATCTAGCTCAGTGTCACCTCACCTTTCAGGGTGATTTCAGCACCTTACTTTGACTGTTACAGGTAAAAATGCTCTTTAAATATGTAGGATGCCTTATTATTAATCATGTTAGAACCACTTTGGGTCTAAACAACACAATCAAATACAAAGGTGTTTGCTTTTGGCCCATGGCCCACCATTACGTTTCAGTGTAGGCCTTCCATGGAAAAAGTTTGTGCTCCTGTGTTTCAAACTGATTAAATTCAGGGTTCATGATACAGTGTAATCTTCATTTTTCTGTAATTTAGGACACAGATTATTAATGCAAGAGACACACTGATGTTTGAATTGGGTCAAAAGGATGACATAAAGCTTAAAAACCCTATGGGCTTAAGTGTTATTATCCTAAATATTTTGTAGAATATGTACAGTATTCTGCTTTCAAGGTTTTGTTTAACCACTACTGTACATTGGTCCTTATTGTAAGTAATCAGATATGTATTGATCTTGCCTATACTTTAAAATGATAGCAAATATATATATATATTATAATAATATAAATAGTGCCTGAAAAGAAAAAAATGAAATATAGGCCTATGTTAAAAACTTTCCAAGCATAATTTCAAACTTAATATGCATCATTTACCATAACTCCTCCAGGTTTTGAAACAATGTTCTGTCTTTATTGACTAGTTTTTCAGTTTTTCCATTACCTTTACAACCCAATAACATGAGCAGCTATAGCCTATTATAAAAATAAATAGATACATGAATTCACACATATACACGACATACAGACAAACTGTTTTTTAGAGAGGCTTCAAAGAAAATGTAGAGCTGGTATGTTAAATGGTTCAGTCCGTAGCCTACATGCTGCTTGGCAGGCAACAGCATCGCTTGCCTTCAGCCTATAAGCCAGCTATAATGTGAGCTAGTAAAAAAGAGGGGGAAAAAATCCCTCTTATCGATTCTGCCTCCAACATAGCAACTGGTCGCTGATTGGCTGACGCACGGCACGTTCCCGGCTTCCCATTGGCTCATCGGGTAGCGTGAAAACGTTGGTATCGGACGGAGACAGAGGGGAGGACAGACGCGATTGGCTCAGGGCAAACTGAAAGCGAAAACCTCTTTCCTGAGAGCCTGCGAGACAGTTGATGGTGTGTGTATTTTAGGCGTGACTCCAAAGGTAATTCGTCCTGCTGCCCCCCCAGCCAGGGCTTATTTAAATTGAGAACTGTAAAGCAAAATGTCTATGAATTTAAACGACCGAGTTAGGAGACTGAGGGGTACCGACAAGGAAGAAGGAAAGGGAGGAAAGTAGAGACATACTGTGTATGTGGAATGAGCAATAAAATATGTGGGGGCTGGGCTTTTACATAGATTAAACCCATTCAGGGAGCTAAGGAAAATAGGACTTGGCAAGCAATGTAAGCTAAATTGCTGTGAAAGCAAATAGCTTTGGGGACAAGCGAGGTGGGAGTGTGTTTCAGGTCAACGGAAATGTAGCAAAGGCCTAACTTGACCTTTTCAGCCTTCATTCTTTTATACCATCCTGTACATGAGCTAGAAAAAGTCACTGTTTCCTGCCCCTCCTCTTTCCCTGTCTGTCTACCCCACACACTTTCTCTACCCACTCTCCTTGTCTTTTGGACACTCACGAAGCCTGACTGAGTCAGCGCTGCTGGTACAGTCTTGTCCTTTCCATCTCCTCTGCATCTGGTCCATCTCTTCTATACCGTCTATGGTCCATCCTAGGAGATGCTTGCCCGTCCACCAGCTCTCTTTGCTGACACAGGTAAGAGGTAGTAATCCATTGCCTGGAACTGACGCTCACCCAAGCACATCCATGCCCTCTCCACCTCATTAATCCCTACCTAACACAGACCTTATGTGATGGATGAAAGAGGCCACCTGTTGCTTGGTCACAGAGGACCAATGGTGGTGTCACCCAGGGTTGTCCTCATCATCAGTTGCTATATCATGGGTTAAAACAGGTTTCTCATGGTAGATGGTGCTCAAGTTAATAAAGAAAAAAAGTTGTGGTAATAAAACGTAACTACGATTTCAGCTCAGTTCTAAATAAAATGAGCAACTGCCAACTGTCTTTGCCTGTAGCAGGTAAAAATGGCATGCCCCCTGTCAACATGGCATAGGGATGTGAGATGATATTGATACACTTGAGTATTGCAATATTATGATTTGTGATACTTAAGTTATTCCCTAAAACACCTGGTTAATTTTGAATAAGGTTTACATGCAAAGATTCAAATTGCAAAAAAAGTAAGACTATGATGTTACAGTGATTGTGGTAAATGCAAATCCACTGTTCTGAACATGTTTGAGATTCATATGTATTCATATTGTGGTTTGTTCTTTATTCTGGGACATGTTTCCTAAAAACACATTAAGAAAATCGCAATCTATATGATTTATTTTATATTTCTGCTGTCTACTACGACGAGCTGTTTACAATTCTAAATCATTCTCAAAGATTTAATAAGTGGCAGACAAAATAAATTGAATATCCAATAGAAATGTTCATTTAAGAGCATGATAAGAGACTAAACTCAAGCTGCTGAAGCTTGCTGGTACTCAAAGTGGAGCAGCATTCTTTCCAGGAGCTCCAGGAAAGTTGTGTTGAACAATGCTGGACGTTATTAGTGAAGAAAGTTTGATGGATTGTTTTGTAGTGACTCAACGGCGGCCCGGCTGAGTAGGGAAAGGGCCTGCACATATCCTGCTATTGTCTTATCGCTTCCTTTCTCTTCCATCTGTCCACAGTGCGTCCTCCGGTGCCCTCGCCGCCTCCTATCTCTGCTGACCCGAGGATAAGCTCATCGCACGACAGGAGGTAAAAACCAGATAACAACTTGTCTTGCTTTGTATTTTAACATTTTTGCTACCCAGGTTGAAAATATTTTACCCCAAACGATAAAAAGGTTAGACATTTCTTGGACATTAACTGTTATATACTGAGAAAAAAAAGCAATCGATCACGCAAGTTGACAAAACCCTCATCAGTTTATTGTCTTTCAGCAAGAAAAAGGTCAGGCTCTCACATTGCTTAGCTTCACCCAAGGAGTTTCCTCAATCCCCCAGTGGAGTTATATTTTTATAAGAGGCTTAATCACGCTCCTTCCATAAACCAACCTCAGAAATACATTTTACAGTTTCTCTGTACAGAGTATCTATTGTCCTCAAACTTGAAAAATGTGCCAAGTTCAACATGGATTCCTTTCCTCTTAAGCTATGTAGGCTGCATGTCATGAAAAACATTCATAGCTCGAGCAATGCCACAGTTCAAGTAATGGAGGCAGGATACTTCCGGACCTCTGGCAGTTCACACAAACATCGGAGGCCACATCATACCGACACCACCAAGGAGAGTGCATTTTTGTGGCAAATGTCAACCTCTCATAACAGCATTACCTTCGCCACCATCATCATCGTCAAACGTTGCAACAATAGAAACACTGTTGGATTGCACTTTCTTCTAGCTTTCATCTTGTGGCATGTTTATAGAAAAAATATATATAGAATACAAAAAGCTTATACTTCTTTGAGTAACAGAATATAACATACAGTACTTCAGATTATGTTTTGATCAGCACATCAGCAGGTGTACATAAATTGCCCTCCTTTTTGCCCAAATGCGATTACGGGACTCAACGTAAGGGACGAAGTTTTGCTCACTATTAAGTGCTTTGGTCAATGGTTATAACATTGAGTATGCTCTTACAATGGTATTCTACAGGATGTTAATGCTACATAAGTATCCACTGTATATGAATGTCTGTTACGAAAGGGGCAAATTGTCAAGATGCACCACGACTTTTTCACATATTCACACGTGGCATTTACCCAAAAAATTGTTTGGTCCACCAAACCAGTATGACGGAAACAGCCTGTTTACAGCACCATTTATCCCCCTTCACAAATGCACTAAGTAGTACGTAATTATTATTCCGGAGCACGCAATGGGACATTTTAAACACAGAAAAATATTTCCTAAAATCACACAGATTATATTTTGTAGAGAAAATAAAGTTGCGCAAAGAATTTAGGGTTCTATACACTTAGTTTTTCAAGTTCACATAAGGGCACATTGGTTTTACTGATTTCCTCCCTCTTAAATCTCTGTGATTGGACACAAATTCATTCTTTCTCTTATTCTCAACATCTCTGCTGTGATTAGATCTGTATGTGCGTTCAATTTGTCACAATGGCAGCCAATCAGAAAACTGGAGTAGGTCATTCCTGATTGGCTGTTGTGTCTCCAATCTGATTCTTACTCTTATCAGTTACTTAGGGATGGGGGAAGCATGATAAGCAGCTCTAAATAAAGTTTTGGTGACATGCCTATTTTAATGAACTTTAGTTAGTTTGTCTTTATTTATTAGCTTGAAGCTTAGCTATCTTGGTTAGGTTGCTAGCCAGCTGACGTCTGCCGTTTATGCAGTAGCTTATAGGCTTGCTTCGTGATTGCTAGCTACACGGCTAAGGCATTGTTAGTCTGGAGTCATGTATTGGCTTCAATATTTCAATTAATTCATTACATTATACAACCTGTCGACAATCTTATAAAACAAGAAGCGGTACCCTCTACTGTTTAAATGTACGCAAATGTGCAAAACAGATTGAAAGAGGTTATTATTGTATGCTTATGTGGATATAAGCATTTTTCTCTTTCGCTCAAATTAGAAATTTCTTTACATTTCTCTACTGAATATAATTTATGTGGTAGCTTACTTTTCTGTGTTCAAAAGGTTCCATAACACACTCAGAAATTAGCCACAAATATAACTCCATAATAACCAAATATATTTCTAAACTATTTGTCGAATCTTCTGAACTAACTAGAGAAATGGACATCTCTAGCAACATCAACTCTGCTTGTAAAAGCTAAAGTTAAACAAAGGTGCAGCACCTGATTTCTCTGGTTTTCAACATCCCTACCATAAAATGTGTCCATTAAACAAATGGCAATAAATGAAGTACAAAAGAAAATATTAAAAGCTTAAACAGTCTCTTTGAAAAAACCAAAACCAAGTTCAAGCTGACATTCAAGTTCCAGTCCCACTTCAATCTGTGAAATCCCATTCACAAAACCGATGGAATCACTCTAGTGCAAAACTTTACACGATGCACCTCGATGCAGTCATTCTCACAGGATACAGTAAACATGTCCTTTTGTCTCTTTCCCGTTGGATTACATTTCTGGAGCAGCAGGCGGGAGCCCCGACGTGTGTTTTGGAGTCTGTAATAGTTTGTGTTCCTCTGCATGTTGGGAAGGCGTGGCTGCAGCTTTGGCGTGAACTGGATGTGTCAGCCGAACATCCAGGGCATCATTGTGTTGCACTAAGGAGTGCAGGCGATAGTGCAGGACAAGGTCTTTCAGTGAGCAGTGGGCGTCGTATGGCTCTGCAAATCCGTATCCGTGCGGTGTGCTGTAGACCATACAATGCTTCACTTCTTCATTAACGCTGTAAGAAACAATAAAATGACATTGATGAGTGTCAGCTCAAGATTCGTCACAAATACATCTGATATAGTTTTCCAAAAATGTTATACTCACACAACAGAGCAAGCGTAGCATCCCTGTTTACTGCTCTCGCGGATCAGGAACGTTCCGGGACCTTTTCCTTGGAGCACCTCCTCGGCCTGTGTCCGGCTCATTTCACCAACAAACCAATTTGTCTCCTCCTGATGCGGCAAATTCTTCTCGTCTCCTTTTAACACATAAGTGCTGAAAAACAAAACAAAAGTTGTATTGTAACACCTCCGTAATCTCATTTTTAGATTATAAGAAGCATTCTTAAACTTTGTTTCCATAATTAATTAGTTGAAACGTACTCATCAAGGCTGTCACTCAGAAGCCCCAGCCAGTCGTTTATGCGTTTCTGCCGTACGCCTTTGTGATTTAGCCAGCTGCAAGGAGAGGTGTGAACAAAAGTTTTGCTTTAATACAGAATACTACTTTACAGAGCAGCTTCAGAATGTATTCCCACCGACACCACAAACAATACTCTGATAATTGACTTACTTGAGGTACAGGTCTCTGATGTTGCGCAGCTCTATGAGGTCGGGCCGCAAGCTGTTAATTTTCCTGTCCGTCTCTCTGTAGTCCTCCACCTGCGTTCTCAAGTCTTCTTCCAGATGGATTTTGCTGTCGTAGATCTCCCCAAGACGACACTTCAGCTTCTCATAATTTATCAAAAAGCTAAAGGGGGGAAGTAAAAAAAAAACACCGGTCAGATGGCTCTACATGCAACCATATTACACAATTTTAGGTACACTTTTTGGGACGATAAAAATACAATAAAAACCTATAAAGCTGCAAATATTATTCGATTAGTTGTCACAGGAAAATATCGTAGTGCATAAAACAAGACTTTTGATAATGTCATCTTGGGCTTTCGGAAACACAAATTGACATTTTTAAACATTTTGAGACACCTTATAGAGTGGACAACTTATTTTATATCTACTGTAGAAAATAAACAACAGATTATTAACGTACCTCTCCAGATCTTTGTCAGCTCCTTCGGACTGATTGTTCATTTCAAACTCCTCTCCGTAACGCTCCTGTTCGCGACACTGCTCCTCGAAGATCAGCATCGTCTCGTTGAAGGCCTCGATTGCCGTTCGTTTCATTTGGATCTCCTGAATCACAAGGAATACATCCATTCAGAAAATGTCTACTTTTTAAACAAGTACTGATGTTACCACAGATCCATCAGGGTTAATTGAATACGTTGGTTTTTACCTGTGAGGTCTTTGTGAAAGTTTCATAAAGGCCATCAAACTCCTTGGACTTCTCTTGATACTGACAGTGAACCTCCTTTAACTTTCTTCCAGCGACATCTACATTATCCTCTTTCACCTGTAGTTAACAACAAATACACTTAAATGAGTACAATGATCACGCTATTAATACTTAAAAAAAATGCCTGACTGTCAAATGTGTCAAGCAAACATAACATAACGTTGCTCACTAACCTGCTGGAAGCGGGACACGGGATTGGTTAGCATTAGGTCCAGTGTGGCGTTGTACTCCACCAACGGATGGTGCTGATAGTGCCAGATGAGCTCCACTACTGATATGAACGTGAGGGGGTCCGAGAAACCGTACTTCCCATCACGGTGGTAGATCTTAATCAGCTTGTTGTGCCCGTCTTTCCTGAGAACATGAACGGCAAAAGGAACACGATCAGATTATTGACGTCAAGTAAAATGTGATGTTATGATTAGATCTTTTTTTCTTTTTTTACCGTAACGTCAGTGTGAAGTCTCCTTGCAGCTTTGTGGATGCGTCACGCACCAAAAAGGAGCCATCAGGTGTGTCCCGGAGCTTCTCATTCACCTCGTCCCTAAGGGAAAATCAGTTAACAGTTAACGGATGTAACATACAAACGCGTTAAACAACAACACATACTTTGAGAGAATGATGGCGTGTTTGTAGTGAAGATACCTTACCTGGTTACATCTCCCCAGTACCACTCTGCGTCCTCTATGGTATATGTAGGGGGCGAAAGGCAGTTGTTGTTCATGGTGGAGGACACTGGCTTTGTTGACCTGGGAGGGAGAGCTACAAGCAAAAGAGAGGACGGATAAGGTTAAAAATCAGGATAACGGTTTCTTAGAAAGAGCTCTATCAGAGACTGTAAAGCATTGATCTAGTGTGAGATCACATTTTGTTAACATCAATATTGCAATAGAGGATGTGCGCATGTATAAGTGTTAAGGAAATGGTGAACGTTTGCCACCCCCCACCACCACCACCAACACACTCTGTCACACCCCTTTCTTGATGGAGCCTGTCATAATCTGAGGACAAGCCCAGGCATGTTT